GTGGGGATTGTGAGCGTTGGTTGCAGTTCCAAGTTGTTGAATGGAATCTGACCAACCGACCGGAGTCCTTCAGTGTTTGTTTCCGATGCACATCGACCGGCGTTAACGTCTGTTGGTATACTCTCAAACTATTTTTCGAATACATCTGTAAAATATAAACTATATACTCCCCCATACCTATTATTTGTGCATCTTTGGTCATGATTTATTTATTAACTACCTGATTTGAAATATTCAATCTGATATCTTCATTAATACAGTGGTTAATTACTAATTTTTGAGTATTTTTTTTAAAAAATGCACAAATATTGGCTATGTAATGATTTATTTGTCTGGATCTATCATTTTCCTTTACAGATCTGTCTTAGTAGCTGAAATTATTTCTCGTATTTGTCTGGATCCATCATTTTGCTGTATAGATCTAAATTAATACGACATTTTTACTTATATTTATACATATTTTATTTATAATTAAATGGATCCCTGTATATAGCATGTGTGTGTATATATATATCACAAACAAATATGTTTTTTGTGAGAAATTTATGCTCATAAACCCTTTAATATTGAAGGACCCATACATCATGGTTGGAATAGTAAAGAGAATGCCATCGGTGACACATGAAAGCTAATATCCCAAACAATGGGATAGGCAGCACCATGATGTCACACATTCATCATAATAATCTAATTAGTGACTGGTAAATACTTATGTGATAGGTATTCACACAGGTCTAATCCTTATTTCATACTTGTATTAGCACACTATTTTTAATACTTATTTAGTACTTGTTTCGACGTTTGTTTGTTCTTAATTTTTCAAACCATATGATTAATCCTTGGTTGATCCATTTAATGCTTGGTTTTTAAAAATGATCTCTCATACATATATTCTAACATCTATATACTTATTTTAATCCTTACTATTGGTGTAACACTTTTAGATCAATTTTTTTCAAACAAAAGCGGGTTGTCAAACTATGCTCTCATACCTCTGTCAGTGGTCAAACAAAAGTGTCTACTTACATTTAATACTTATTTAAAATGAAATGTAATACTGATTTGAAACAACATTTGTTTTTAAAACCAAGCTGTCAATCTTCTATAAAACCCTATGATTAAAGGTTTTTTGTTAACCAACACTCAGTTTTTACAACTAATCTGTCATGGCTATATTCTAACATGTATATACCTATGTGAATCCATATTAATGGTGTAACTGTTTAGATCCATTTTTTTAAACAATGTGGGTTTCAAGCATGAACTTTATTTCAAACTGTGGTCTAGTACATCTTAAATACCCTATGTTCAAACTTTTTTTTGCTTAACCCACACTCAGTTTTTCTAACATGTATATACATGTGGTACACATGTATACCACATTGTTATGTTTGAAACTCATATTATTTTCCACCTATTTAACATGTAATGTAATACTGATTTGAAACAACACTTATTTTTAAAACCAAGCTGTTAGTCTTCTTTAAAACCCTATGATTAAACTATTTTTGATAAACCAACACTCAGTTTTACAACTAATCTATCAGGGCTATATTCTAACATGTATATACCTATGTGAATCCATATCATTGGTGTCCCAGTTTAGATCAATTGTTTTTTTAAACAATATGGGTTTCTAACATAATCTATACTTCAAACTATGATCTAGTACATCTTAAATACCCGGTTTGAATACTGATTCCAAAGTTGGTTTCTGTTTAAACCAAAGTCTTTACTTTCATTTAATACATATTGAATATGTCATGTTATAATGATTTCAAAGCTCATTTATTTTTATTTTTAAAAACAAATTGTCATACTTATTCCTATATGGAATCCTATTATTTAGATAAGTTGGACACTTAATCTTTAAAATTATTTTATCATAATGTAGATATACATGTATATATGTACATAAATACTTTATATTTTCTATGACTAATGTTTGCAGCCATACCTAAATGCACTTAACTATTGTTTGTCTCGGTCAATTAGTAGGTGATGTGGCATTGACCATAGGGTTACCCGATACCCTGCCAGCCACATTAGTGGCCTTCGGAACTGCGTGGTCGGGTAGCCCGCTGCACAACCATCATCAATTCCACCTTAGACCTCATTCATATGATAATAGAAGGTGGCAAAATATTTCTCCAGAATTTTTTGGTGTTATGAATTCAATGAAAATCCAGGTTATATATTCCATGATAAATCTTAAGTTTGCATAATTACATTGGTCAAATACCTCTCCTGCCAGTCTCTTACAGTTGATTATTGTAGATTTGGCAAGCCTCCTCATTTTTATAATGCAAATACTATACGTGTCGTGTACATCATGTATATCATGTTATACTTGTTATCTCTCAGATGCATTTTATTAGCTAAAAGCATCAAAAAATGCATATTCCATATGTTATCATATTATATATATATATATATATATATATATAAGCACATCCTAATTTTTCTTCTGGGAAACAACCCCAATTGCCACCGTTTGAGGCTTACTCATGTGCCTCTGACGATTTTGATTATTCGGATGACTCCATCTTCACAGATGACTTCTTGGGACATGCGACCGAAATCCCTTTATCGCATGTACCATTTCCATTTATCAATAAAATTTCCCTTCTTTAAAAAAAATAAAAAATAAAAAATAAAAGCACATCCTAATCTTTTTTTTTGTACTTGTTGTTTATACTGTTTATTGCACATTACTAAAATGCTTTTTTTCAAACAAAGTGTGACACAAATGAAAGTAACAGAAAGGTTGTAGCAAAAATATGCAATCATGGTGCATTTAAATGAAGCATTCATAACATCTTATTACATTGAATGTTCTGATACATTTCATGTAGCCTAAATGCGTACTTGTTAATAAGTCCTTTCTAGCCAACCCATCTGCATTCCCACAACTGTGTCTTCATTGAAGAACTTTCTGTTAAGATAAACAACCAGAGCAGATCTCCTAGGTAAAACTGGACATGCATCTAGCAAGTCTTCTTCACATTGTTTGCATATTAGGTCCACAATATCCTTGTCCTTGGTAAGTGGTTTCATGCAGTAGTAGTGACTAAAATTTGATTTACACCGAGAACAGTCATCCAGTACAAAGACCCCACTATGCATGTTTACCACAACCATGACATTTGAGACTAAATGTTGTAGTATTCATCCCTTAAGTTCATGCAAATGAATCTGTATATGAAATGACATATCTCATTTTTACTAAAACATGTAGTTAAAACCGCATTCATACTTTTTGTTTCACACCATGCAATTATTATTATAGATTTAATGTCTAGTGTTAAATGTTAATATCTGCTGAATAAAATATGACATAGTAAAATAATTTGAAACTCACCTTTTCATGTTGTTTATTGTTGAACCCTTACATTCTTTAAACTTCAATCATGGTGGGAGATACTCTGATTTGCTATCTCGTTTCTAGCTAATATATGACCAGCTACTGAGTTGTTGAATGCATTTAAGTCTATTTATAATGGGGATGTAAAACTGGGCAGCCTTTGAGCTTGCAGCATCTCAAATGGCTGTAGGTCGTACATGAAGCTAGGAAATTCCATATCCAAATGAACCACTTTGGTCCTGCTCACGAACTCCAAAAGGTAAGGGTGAGTGGTAGTTTTGTACAGCTGGTAGTTATCTAGCACCATGAAATTCTATTCATTGCATAGACACTGTCTTCCATAAGTTGCGGTCTGAACTAAACAACAGCATGGCATCATGGATGCGAGTTCCCTACAAAAGTGGTCAATGTTAGTTTCAAAAAATTTTGAAAAACGTATGATTTGCATAATATAGTTTTCAAGTAAAGTATACCTCTTAGTTCAAAAAAAAGTAAAATATACCTCTTCATCATGCAGGACCATTTCTAGAGTGTTGCCACCCCTAGCATGTGCTGCTACCACGTAAACCCTAACTACTCTAACTTTCAATGCCCAGGTGGTTTTCGTGTGGTCTATCTCACTTATGAGAGACCACATTCCTGCTCTCTTAGAGGCAGCCATAGCAGTACTGCGGAGTTGGTAGAACCGGGGAGTTGGGGAATACTGTATTGCTGGGAGTGTGTTATGAGAATGCCTGTGAGAAGTGTCTTATTTATAGTAGAACATTTTGGCCCAATAGTATTTTTAATTTAAATCTGAAGTGTGAGGCCTAGTGGTTTTCAAATTTTCAAGTATCTTGTACCACTCCACAATCTGCGAATATCTTTTCACTCCATTAATTGAATTCCTTAATTTGATTCTCAATCTAACCTGCCTTAAAAGTGGGGTGTACCTTGGGACTATAATTGTATGTATAGTCAAACTCAGAATTTGCTTCTCATGCTTGAATCAACTTTGCATTTAATGTTACCTTGGGTCTCAAGTAGTTGAACCAATATCATTAATTCAATACGTTTTTTTGGATCAACTCCCAACCACCTTTAAAGTGCTATTTTGAATCGTGAACAATAATGGAAATGAAAGTCAACCGAATTTAATGGATGATCTTCTAGTATGGTGATAAAGCTTAATACATTTAATGTATCTTGGCAATTTTAAGCATGATTATACTAAAGCCTCTGCCCCTAAAGATATTTACCCTTTTTAACGAAATATGGCAGATGTTACACTCAATCTATATCTTGGACCCAGTTAACACGACCCTAAAACATAACCCGACCCAACCACATAACCTAGCCACTGCCAAGCAAAAATTTGGGCGGGAAAACAGCCTGCTTTTCCACCTCTTTTTATATAGAGGTAGATTAATCTACGTGAAAGTCAAAGTTGACGAACCTTTTCGGGATGGAGAGAGTAGTACGTATTCAATAACTTAATTTACATCATGGAATATGTATGCTCGAGAATATGCATTGTTGTATCTCTTAATGCCCGACCTGTATGCATTGCTGCATAACAACAATAATGGAAATACAATATACTCAAAAAAGTATCATTAGATCTAAAATTTATAAGAGCTGGATGATCAAAGGTCACCTGATTTCTAGCTAGCTTCCCACGTGTGGAATAATGGAACATACCTTCTTGTGATATATATTCTGCACATTAACCATTTATGATTTAAAAAATGTGTTAAATCTCTTTGTATACGTCATTACTAGTTATTATGCTCAAAATTCCCTCCAAGAATAAATTTAATTGTCAATACAAGAAAAATTAATAATTTTTTGGTATAATTTAGAGATCATTACAAATTACTTGCACATTCATTAATCATAAGATTAAGCCACATGATTTCTAAATTGTCAAACTTGTTGTTGGAGGAAATCATCCACATGATTAATCGTATCATATGTACTTTAAGGCATTTTTAAGTAATAAGGAATTAATGCGTAAACTTTGTATATCATCAAGATGAGGGGCATTAAACCAAAATTATATGTTGAAACAACCTCCATATATTGCATTTAAATAGGTGATTTACATGTGTTTCAATTCGCATCCGCAGGTGGGTTAACTTGTAAAGTTCATCATCATCGTTACTCCGGTGCCGCAAAGGCTCCCACCTTCGGTGGTTGAGTCCGTAAGGGGGAGTCGGATGTAAGCAGTCATATATACCCTTGTACTACAACACAAAGAAACTATTTCTAGGTGACCCTTGTATGGAGGTTTAACTAAGTTGTGTAAAGAAACTTAATTTCTCAACAATTCTGAAATTTCCCATCGAAACCTACAGTATGTCGTGTGTCACATGATTTGACTCGGAAGGGAACAATTTGAGGCAGACGATTCCCTTTTTATAGAGATAAAGATGATTCAGCTATTTGGAGGTGAACTAATGTTTATTTAGATTTAATTTTAGGTTAACCTCATTTGTGTAGTATTTTGTAAGGAGAACCTCAGTTTAAAGAGAACATATGTGAACCTCGGTTTTGGAAAGCCTCTGAAACAGAGTTTTTGGGGGCATGTTTTCTTCATAAATATTACTCTCTTTGTCCTTTAAAACTTGGTCAATTTAAATTTTCTTGATTAATGATAATAAACTTTTGAAACTTATTACTTAATATTTGTCTTTATGAATGTATTTTGAACAAAGAACATTTATCATAAAATTGCATCGTCTAAATAATTTCGTTGAAAAAATATAAATGATCAAAATTGACTATCATTAATCAAGGAAAGTCAATATGACCAAGTTTTGTGACACACAAAGAGTACTACATTCAACTTGGTTAACCTAATAATTACCCAAACAACAATTTTATATAACCATGCACTTGAGGTTCAATGAAATTGTTCAGTAAAATTGATCAGGTCTACGTAAGTGTATCTCCCAAGGGATCATAAGCCTCCAGCCAAAGCTCCGTCCTGGAATTTTCTCATCTTGGTGGGTCATTCCATCCCTCACTCCTATTCCCCGTAGGTAAGTCAAATATCATATGGCATATCGCTCCTTGAATTTTTAAAGGCCACAGAAATGGATATACATAGTATGCCACAAAGAATACTTTGATTGCAACCTATTGTGTTTACTTTTACAAAAAAGTTTTTTTGTTCCAATAAAAGTTAATTTTGGGAAATTGGCCCTTGATTTTTCAATTGTTGGCTACACTTTAATGTGCCCTAATCCGAATCGTGTATACGTTTTCAATAATTGTTTACTTAATTTGGAATGTTTCATCAACTTATGTATATATGTATATATCATTTGCCAATTCATACAAGTCTTAGAGGTTTCAAGCTAATCAAATAAACACGAATCTAACGTTTTTGGCCAATTTTACAGTTTCTTTCTTCTGTCAATGAAATCATTAGTTTGTTTATTTCCTTTCTTCTTCAATGCCCAAAAACAAATTTAGTTGGTATATTTAATTTTATAATTCTATAAAATTTAAAATACCAAAATGATTCTATAAATCCAATATATATATATATTCTGTTATTAATTGAAACATCAAGTCATATATTCTTAAGCTAAATACATATCAATTAAGTCATTTTATTTTGTTTTAAAGAAAAAATACAGAGGAAGAAGAATACTCCCTCCGTCCCAAAAACAACTTCCCGCTTTCCTTAAATGGATGTCCCAAAATTAACTTCACACTTCAATACTTTCCTTATTTGGCAAATTATCTACATCAAGAAAGTGATAAACAGTGTCAAACAGTGTTTAAACAGTGCCAAACAGTGTTTAAATAGTGCAAAACAGTGCACTCTACAGTAAAGTCAAATTTATTTTCTAAAAGTGTGTGAATGTCAAACCGAGAGGTTGTTTTCGGGACGAGATATTACCCGAAATAGGACTAAAAAGGTTTGAAAATTCCAAAATAGGACTGCCATGTTTTTTATTCCCAAAATAGGACTAATTACTGTCATGTTTTGGCAGTACCAGACTTCAAACATGACAGTATTTTCCAAACTTGACAGTAATTACTCCTATTTTGGGAATAAAAAACATGACAATTCTATTTTGGAATTTTCAAACTGTTTTAGTCCTATTTCGGGAACTTTCCCTTTCGGGACGGAGGGAGTATTTTTAGTGGGCGTCCAAAACGGGCCGAAATACGTAAGATTTGTGTTTAATTGGTTCAACTAAAAACTTATTCACTTATTTGATTTGATATTCTTCCATAACCACAATGTCAAGTATAATATGGCTCTTATCTCAAAAGAAAATGTACCAATAGAAAGAAAGAAGCCTAATTTTTGCTTGTGTTTATTTGGATAGAAAAACGTTTACAGAGAACCTTGGTAATGTCTTGCAAAGTGATGCGGAAGATGTAGACCCAACAAGAATCATTGGTGAAGTGATGGAGCTGGTGTCCGATCTAAAGAGGAAGAACTTTGTGCCAAGGATGGAAGAGGAGGATTCGTGGAAGAAAATGGTGGTGTTCGTGAATGGAATTCCGGATTCGTTAACACCGATGCTGGAAGCAATTCATGATAGAGTTGTTGTATCTAACTTGATTGAGATTAAATGTTTTTATGCTGATATGGTGATGCGACGTTCCATAGAGATTACACGCAGGCTTAAATGGATCTATTCCTTGCCTTATGTAGTAATAGAGATTGTCGTGGACAATTGCCCCACAACAAGTATGGTAGCTCTGAACCTGCTGCTGTGGTCAAGATTGATGATGAAGTGAGGTTCAATGCCATCCCTGGGAGACCAAAGTGGAAGAAACTTCCAATCAATGGCGCTGGTGGAGGAGCAGAAATCAAAGTGCAAGTCAAGTTTATTTATTATTATACCTACAAGATCATCAAATTATTCGGTGACATGTGCTTACTATCAATTAATGTTCTTATTATACTCTATGTTTTAGAACTAGTTTTTGATTAATATTGTTTTTTTAGAGAATGTTTGATTAATATTGTCAGGGCCGCCTGGCCGGTCCTTTTGTGTTTTGGGCCTATGGGCGATATACTATTTTGGCCTTATTTCCAAGACAAACCGTAAATTATACTCACATAAAGTAAAAATTAAAGAGTACAATAAAACTATGAGAAATTACTCTAAATAGAAGTAAAAACATTTTGTAGATTCCAAACTAAGATTATCATGTTATTATTCCTTAAATACTAAATAGAAGTAATTGTTGTCATATTTTGACAGTAATTACTTACTAAGATTATCATGTTATTATTCCTTAAATACTAAATAGAAGTAATTGTTGTCATATTTTGACAGTAATTACTTCACACATGGTAGCGTTTTCCGAACATGACAGTAACTACTCATATTTAGAAAGTAAACACATGACAATCCTGTTTTGAAATTCTAAAAAAAAAATTACTCCTATTTCTGGAATTCTCCCTACAACTATCTAATTAAGGTTATAAAATAAAGATGAAATTCACCTTCATATAATTTGAATTACATATTTGGACAAAAAGTAACAAAAAAGAACAGTGTGAAGTAAAATCATCAATAATTGTTTTATAATCAATCTTTTTTCAAGATCACATGTGCAATGTTTAAAATTAATCATCCATTAAATTTTTGAGGCATAATAGATAATTGTGATGATGTTTGAGAATTGGGATGCACTAGCAGTCCAAAGACAATATTATAAATCTGCACTTTTGTAATTAAAAAGAAAAAAAAAGTCTTAAAGACTAAAAAGATGTAAAGAGACGTGCTTTTATTGATTCAACAACAAATGTGTTGACTTTTTAAAAATCAAAACTTTTGTTATATTCAACACTTTTTAGTTATGCTTTAAAATTTTCAAATTGTCAACAAAAATTACACAGTAGGGCTAATTAATTAATGAAAATTATAAATAAAAAAATGCCTAGTGAGATTACATATAAAAGAAAAAAATGGACCTAATTTTCTTTCTATTTTTTTTTTGGGCTTAGGACAGTCGCCCCTGCTGCCCTCCCCCTAGGACCGGCCCTATATTGTTAGTAGTTCTGTTATTTACCTTGATGTTTTTTGGCGCACTGAGGTGTGTATTTTGTCTTACTTCTTCTATCTAATCTTGAGAGCTGTCAGATATATTTTTTGCAAAAGATTCTCCTTTTAATATAGGAAAAAATGAAAATAATAATTTCAACTATTGTCGGTCTGCTGACAATAATCCCAACCTTGATTATTTTTGTATAATCTCAACTATATGGTTTGTTCGCCAATAATGGTCCATGACCAAATATTACCTCTAATAAAAAATGATTTTTTAATTGAAATTAAGCGTAAAAAATTAAAAGTTAGGATTGTTTATAAGGTGTTATATCTCTTCTCATCCACTTTAGAAACTACATGAATTTATTTATAGGGACTATTATTGACGGAAGATCCTTATAGTTGGGATTATTATGAAATAATCGATAGTTGGGATTATTATGAACAATCTGCTGATTGTTTTTAAATTAGAACGGGCCAGGTTAGCGCGCCTCTCTTAATGCCTCTCTTAATGCCAAACTAAGCTGGTGAATCTTGTTCAACAACATTTTTATATTTTCCAGCGGCACACCAATAATGTTACTCAAGAAATATAATATAATAAAAATGTTTCATTACACCTCCAATCCCTAAAGTTGTGATTATTCTGAAATAACTGATAGTTGAAATTATTCTGAAATAAATGATAGTAGGAATTATTATGAGCAATCTGTTGATTTCTTTAATATATTCAAATTACATTTAGAGCCCGTTTGGTAGAACCAAAATCGGCTGTTTTGGCTGATTCTGCTGAAATTTATGATATTCTGGCTGGAGTGGCTGTTTTGGCTGATTCTGCTGATTTAAGAAAAAAATATTTTAAAAATATATTTTATTAATAAATTAAAGAAAAAATTATATGTAAAAATAGCTAAAATGGTCTTCTACAGTAACTTCAGCCAATACAGCCAGAAAAGTAACTCCAACCTTACTTTTTTGGCTTATTACACAATTCAGCGCGCGAAAGTAAAAGTTACGTGTTTGGTGAAAAAGCTGGCTGATAAGCCTGATAAGCCGAAAACAGAGTTCTCCAAACGGGCTCTTAATGTTTTTACTTTTTGGCTTCGTTTGGATAGCAACGGTATGAGCAATCTGGTGATTGTTTGGGTAGGCAAGACTCCGCTGAAAAACAAACTAGGTCTTATCTTTTTTAAACATCTCTTTACTACACTAAGTTTATATACCATTAAATATAGAGTAAATAATGGAATCTTTTGCTCCATTAAAAATGTGAAAAAAAATGTAAATAATGGTATGGTAAAAAGAATCCCACAGAGAATTATCCTAGGAGAATTATCTTAAGACAGCTATTGCCAACTTCTCTCATGTAAAAGTATTCTGTGTGCTTAATTAATGATGAACACAAGTTTTATTGTATGAAATAATGTAACAGCTAGCATGAAAATCAACATAAAAAAACTGCATTTTTAATTGATCACTAAATTGGTACCAAAAAAGTTACAATTATTGGGTTCTTTGGATTGCGACAATTGTTTTGAGAGAGAACATTTAGAGAACACTAATTAGTTCTCTTTGGCAAATAGAGCACTAATTGGTGAAATTGGATATAGTTGCAGTGGGGTCACAAGCCTTGGCCGCCGGAGAAGGCTCGACGGTTGGAGTCGGAGGAACAGCCGGAGCTGTCAGCTCCGCCGGCAAATCTTTGATACCCTTCAAGTAAAAGGTATAGAAGAGCTTGAACGGATAAACGAGCTGCTGCAGTTTCACTTGCCCGGAAACGCCTTCAAATATCCCGGTACCGCCGGTGACGGCAAGGAAAGACTCTTCATAGGTGAGATACGGCCCCTGAACGGCGATGCTTCCATAGTCTCCGAAGTAGAAACTGTAAACCGCCTCGTAACGGTCGCCGCCCTTCTCCTCCTCGTGCTTGATGAGGATGCAGATCCCGGCGGTGATGCCGATCCGTTTCTGCAAGTCGCCGGAGTAGAGCTTGTTGGTGAAGGGGACCAAATCTCCGAGGGAGTTCACTTTGTTGTAGCTCAGCCGGAGGTACGCCGGACTCCGGCGATCTCGCTCGTTGATCTCGTACACACACAGCTCTTGAACCTTGGGATCTGCTGGAAATACCAAAACCAAATCATGTTCAATTTTTTTTAACTTATGGATTAAATTCCTGAATAGGTTTCAAATTTTGAAGAAATTTCAAAATGGGTTACATAATTTCACTACTAAATTAAAAATATCGAGAATTTCACTCTTACCGGTGGTTGGTGAAAATGCCGATTCAGATTGGACGGCGGTGCTCTGGCTCTTGACGGAGAAGAGTGACCTTTTGGCTACGTTAGCCGTGGAGAGCGAGAGGGGTTTTGAGACGGAAGATTGCTTGAAGGAACGGAGTGGTTTGATTGAAGCCGGAGAAGAAGCGGAGTGTGCGAAGGGAAGAAGCTTCGCCGGAGGAGTAGTAATGGCTGCCGGAGCGGCGAAAAGAGAAAGCGAAGAAGCAGAGGTGACGGCCATTGTTAAGACAGGGAGAGTAAACTTGACGGGTGATGATGAAATTCCGTTTCAGAGAGTTGGGTATTTATAGATTGTTGTTAGCTAAGTGGAAAGGTTTTGTTGAAGGGAAGATGAATGGGTTGGTCTTTCAAATTCATAAATTCTCTTTTTTATCTCCCAGGCTGTTCGTCCATCTTCCTCTCATTTTTACCAGGAGAGACTAAACGGATGTTTGGCTGTAAATTAACTCGAGTTATTAGTTTTTGTTTAAATCACCATGGTTAAGTGATTAAAATAAAAATGTTACGGAGTAGAAGATTAGCATTTTTACACTTTACAACTATTATTATTAAATCTGGTTGTGTTCAATTTTTTTTAAATAACAATTGTGTTGATATACGTAGTACTAGATTACTAGTAATACAGTAGATTGAATTACATATTTTTTATCATTGAGTTTATTTCTGCAGTAGTCCGTATCTCACTAACATTTTTGCCATGCGTAAGTACCGAGAAAGTAATGGTTATTAAATTATAATGTCAAAGAGACTAGTGGAATGAATACTCGAGGTGAAACAATTTAATACTCCCTTTGTCCCCATGACCCCATATAAAAGTTTGAATACTGATTGGCACTATTTAGACACTGTTTAACACTGTTTGGACACTGTTTTGCACTGTTTTGTTTGCCAAAAAGGGAAATGTGCCTTTTATATTGGGACGGCCCGAAAAGGAAAGTGTGTCTTTTATATTGAGACGGAGGAAGTAGTGATTTTGAGATGATATATTCACTTTAAAGTTTAAATACGTAGTAATATATTGTGGGACGGATAAAATAGGGAATCAAAGATTCGATAATATTAGGAAATAGAACGTCTCTCCTAATTATTTAAATGATATTGTTTGTTTTTAATTACAATTGTTGATAAAAAGTAACCAAAATTATTGAAGGTTTTAAAATGAAAGAATGAGGAATTTTATTAATTTGATTCGTGTACATTGTGATTTCATGTAGGCACGAGTAGGGGTGGACCCGGGCCGGGCCGGTTCCGCTTCGGGCCTGGGCCCGGCCGGGCTTTTGTTTGGGAAGTAGGGAACCCGAACCGGCTCGGGTAGCCGGCGGTTCCGGGCCGGTTTCTGGTTAAATTTATTTTTTTAATTTCTTTTGATATTCTAAATAACCCCCGACCACCCCCCCCTTCACCCCCCAACCCCCCCCCCCCAAACACTCAGCCCAACCCGGTAGAAAGTTAAAAAAAATGAAAAAACAAAAAAAATTAATAATAAATTTGGCCGAAACCGGGCCCGGACCGGCCGGGCCGGATCGCATTTTAGGGGGCCCGAGCCCGCACCGGGATTAGACCGGTTCCAGTTGGCCCGAACCGCCCCCAAGACCGGGTTCCGGGCCGGGCGGCCCGACCCGAGTCCACCGCTAGGCACGAGTGATATTGTTATATCTCAGATGCTCGTATTGACACCAATAACTCATACTTTTAAATATTTAACAAAAATAACCCGTACTTGAAAAGTCCACAACAATAATCCCAACTAATTAATT